TCATAGTTCTTTGTTTTTTTTTTCCCATAAATATGAAGATATAGTTATACAACCGCCATATTAACAAAATTATATTTTATCCCTTCATTTTTTTGGTTCTTACTTGGACTTGGCACAAAAGGCTAGGCCACCTACACCTAAGGGGGCTAAACCAACTTAAAGAAAAGAAAATGGTGCATGGACTTCCATACTTAGAAGAGGTTGATGAAGTCTGTGAAGGATGTCAACTGGAAAGCAACATAGAGAGTTGTTTCCAAAGAATCAAACATGGAGAGCAAGCAATCTCCTTGAGCTAATTCATGTGACCTACACCTAAGGGGGCTAAACCAACTTAAAGAAAAGAAAATGGTGCATGGACTTCCATACTTAGAAGAGGTTGATGAAGTTTGTGAAGGATGTCAACTTGGAAAGCAACATAGAGAGTTGTTTCCAAAGAATCAAACATGGAGAGCAAGCAATCTCCTTGAGCTAATTCATGTCGACTTGTGTGGGCCTATGCAAAATGAATCTATAGCTGGTAACAAGTACTTCATGCTTCTTATAGATGACTGTACAAGGATGATTTGGGTTTACTTTCTTAGATACAAGTTAGATGCATTGAACTGTTTTAGAAAGTTCAAATCCATGGTAGAATTGCAAAGTGGCTTTAGATTGAAATGTTTGAGAAGTGACAGAGGGGGTGAATTCACATCTTGTGAGTTCAACAAGTTGTGTGAAGATGAAGGTATTCAAAGGAAACTCTCTATGGCTTACACTCCACAACAAAACGGAGTGGTGGAGAGAAAGAATAGGACTGTGGCTGAAATGGCAAAAGCAATGCTTCATGAGAAAGGATTGTCGTACTATTTCTGGGTAGACGTTGTACACACAGCTGTCTACATACTGAATAGATGTCCTACAGGAGCACTTGGAGAAATGACTCCATTTGAAGCATACAGTGGGAGAAAACCAGGGTTTGCACACCTTAAAATCTTTGGTTGCTCGTGCTATGTGCATATACCAAGTGAGGTGAGACAGAAGCTAGATGCAAAGAGTACTAAGGGGATATTTGTGGGTTATGCAACCTGCGAAAAGGGATATATAGTGTACAATCCAGTCACTAAGAAGCTTCTACTCTTAAGAGATATTGTGTTGGATGAAAATCCAGCTTGGGATTGGAAGGCAATGCCTGAGAATTTTGTACCTCTATCCAGCCATGAAGAAGAATCCAAGGTACTTGAAGCTATATCACCAAAGACACCCTTTGTGAACCATGATCACATTCAGTCACTAAGAGTGTTGTCTTCCCATGAACCATCAGGTGGCATAAGTAGCAGCATGAAGAATTCTCAAGCCTTTGATCACACTCCACTAAAATGGAGAAACTTGGATGATGTTCTAGCACAATGCAATCTTTGCATCATGGAACTTGAGAAATTTGATGAAGTTGCTAAAGATGAATCATGGATGAAAGCCATGAAAGATGAACTGTCAATGATTGAGAAAAATGCAACATGGAAGCAGATGGACAGACCAACTGATAAACCCATAATTAGAGTTAAATGGGTGTTCAAGACCAAGCTAAATCTTGATGGCTCAGTACAGAAGAATAAGGCAAGACTAGTAGGCAAGGGTTATGCTTAGAAACTAGGTGTTGATTATAATGAGACTTTTGCACCTGTGGCTAGACTTGATACAATTCGAACACTAGTTGCATTGGCAGCATAGAAGAGTTGGAAATTGTATCAGCTAGATGTTAAATCTGCTTTCCTAAATGGTGTGTTAGAAAATGAGGTTTATGTAGACCAACCAGATGGTTTTGTGATCAAGGGGAGTGAAGACAAAGTGTACAAGCTTCATAAAGCTCTATATGGTTTAAAACAGGCACCAAGGGCATGGTATGGTGAAATTGACACCTACTTTGCTCAATGTGGATTTGCAAAGAGTCAAAGTGAGGCCACTCTTTATACCAAAACCAGAGGAGAAGCAGAAATCCTAATCGTGTCTATATATGTAGATGATGTTGTGTATATAGGGAATAGTCAACCAATGTTGGAGGAGTTCAAGAGAGATATGATGGTGAAGTATGAAATGAAAGACTTGGGGCTCCTACATCACTTTTGGGAATGGGAGTTATCCAAACTCACACAAGTATTTTTATTCATCAAAGAAAGTATGCTGCATCTTTGTTGAGTAAATTTAGCTTGAGTGACTGTAAACCTGTTTCTATACCCTTAGTTACAACTGAAAAGCTGAGCAAAGATGATGATAGTGGTCTAGCAAATGAAGAACAATATAGGAAGATTGTGGGAAGTTTGTTGTATCTCACAGCCACAAGACCCGATGTGATGTATGCTGCTAGCCTACTTGCGAGGTTCATGCATTGCCCTACTAATAAGCACTATGGAACTGCTAAAAGAGTTCTCAGGTATGTTAAAGGGACACTTGACTACGGCTTGGAGTATATGTGAAAGGAAGAAATGCAGTTTTAATTGGTTACTGTCATAGTGATTGGGGTGGCTCAGTTGATGACAGTAAAAGCACCTCAGGATATGCCTTTTCCTTTGGCAGTGGAGTCTTTGTTTGGGCCTCAGTTAAACAAAACTGTGTTGCTCTCTCTACTGCAGAGGCAAAATATATCAATGCATCAGAGGGAACTGCACAAGCAATTTGGCTCAGGTTTGTGTTGGAAGATTTTGGCGAATTTCAAGCTGAGGCTACTCCACTTCAGTGTGATAATGCTGCTACAATTGCCATCACAAAGAATCCCGTGTTTCACTAGAAAACTAAGCATATTGATCGAATGTATCACTTCATCAAGGATGCTCTGCAAGAAGGAATCATCGACTTGGTTTACTGTCCTACAAATGAGCAACTAGCAGACATCTTCACAAAGTCATTGGCTAATGATCGATTCTGCTACCTCAGAGATAAGCTAGGAGTGAAATCAGCTCAAAACTTAAAGGGGAGTGTAGAACTGTAAGTAATGAGCTGATTAGCATAAGCCTAGAACGATAATAGTGAATGCACTTAGTCCCTTAGAATGGCAGGTGTAAGGCTCCAAAATGTAAGGCTGAAATAAGCCACGTGTAGTGATCTTAGAATAGCTAGATGTGTGGTTGAGATTCAAGTTGTTGTGTGTGAATCCAGCTAAGGCTAACGGTTATGTAGTACACGCCTTGTGTGCTCACTCAGATAGAAGAAAATATACAATCCTCTATGCAATTCCAGCACGAGAGAAGAAGAGCATTTCATCACTCTGTCTTTAGTCATTCTTCTATTCCTTCTCTTCAACATTCCATAACCCAGCAAGAATACAAAAACACTAACAGTAGTCAGCATCAAGGATAGAATGAAATTGATCATTGACCCGCAGATCCAGGGAGTCAAGAATCTCCCACCCATCCATATTGCCTTGAGTAGTAAATATATGCTAAAAGTAATCCAAGACCACTTTCTCTATACGTGCTTTAGTCTCTTGCCAAGCATCAAAATTGTCTCTTAAGCCACGTATCAAAATTTTCTATTTTCTATTACTGGCTCACTGATGGAAAATTTTGGAATTACGATCACCTTCCTGCAGCCACAGGATTCTCGACCTTTGTCTCGAAAAAGCTTTATCACGATCAAGCAAAGCATTAAGTTGGTTGTTTAGAGAATGGCGAGTGTGAAGAGTGTCATCCGGAATGGGCTATTCTAGGAGATCATCCAATTGTGCTCTCACTCTTTGTATCTCTACGCTAGTGCGGTTAAAGGTCACACATTGCCACTATTAAGCCTTAACTCTAGTAGCTTTGATTTTCTCCATCACTTGATACATAGCGGTTCCCGCAATAGGTGTAGACCACTTGATACCACTTGATACATAGCGGTTCTCGCAATAGGTTCGCAGGTCTACTACATGTCTACACCTGGTTTTGGTTATGTTCCTAATCCAGTATCTTGGCAATCAAGGAAACAAGGATCTGTTTGTCGTAATTCTACAGAAGCAGAGTATCGGGCTCTTGCTGACACTTCCTGATGTTGCCTGGATAAGATAGGTGCTTGCAGATCTTCATGAATTTCTTCCTGAGCCTCCAATGATTCATTGAGACAACATGTATGCTTTAGCCCTATGTTCTAATTCAGTCTTCCACTCCCGTATTAAGAACCTCGGTATTGATTACCATTTTGTGAGAGAAAGGGTTCAACGCAAAGATATCTTTAGTTCAATATATTCCAACAGATGAGCAGATTGCAGATGTATTTACAAAAGGACTTCATGCACCTATGTTCTCAAAGTACTGTACCAATCTCAAACCGGGAAATCCAGACTGAGCTTGAGGGGGGATGTTTGGCTAATAGCAAGGTTGCTGAGGTGTCAAGATTGTTGCGTACGTTAATCATGGGTGTTAGTTTGTATTAGCTATTGTAATAGTCACGTGTATCCTTCAGTTAGTTAGGAAGAGCTAGCTTAATTACTAAGCAAAGCCTAGAGTATAAAAGGCTATGGGTACTGTAGTATTCATGAATTAGGAAAGAACTCTCAGATAATATTCTCATTTTCTCTCTCTGATTTCTCGATTCTTCTTCTTCTTCTCAATTCTTCCTCATTCGTTAGCACTTCCGAGAAAGAGCTCATATTAAGGTCTGGTAAACCCACTCTTAAACTTTCACCATACACATCTTAGAGCATCGTTGTCCACAGCCTCTTCTGTCGAGGCCGCCGCTGTAGGCGGCGGTGCTTGAACAAACCATGGGTTAAAGGAAAGAATCAAGTCATATTTGATATGCCCAGATTATAGGGTCGTTGATTGATTCCTTGTATATATGTTATTCAATTGTTTTATTTCCTTCCTAGAATAAGACTCTCTCAGTTTGTATAAAGCTGTAGCTCTATTGTATATTCATATATCAATAAAATACAGAGATCTTCTCTACCAAACTATTCTCTTCATTCACCATTTTTACATGGTATCAGAGCACCGATTCTGGTGACTCTAGAAACCCAAACACCTTCCACTACAACACAACACAACAAGATGGGTGAAGCAAAATCCACAGAGAAACCAATTGATGTTTCGAATCCGCTCACCTTGCATCACTCGGATCATCCGGGAATTGTTTTGGTCTCCAGGCTTCTTGAAGGATACAACTATGGGCAATGGAGCCGATCTATGTGTCTCAATCTTAGCGCAAAGAATAAGATTGGCTTTGTCGATGGGTCTGTCAAGGCCCCATCATCTACAGATGCGAAACACTCCATTTGGCAACGATGCAACGAGTCGTGGATCTTGAATTCAGTACATCCGGACATTGCCAGCAGCGTGATCTATGTCGAAACAGCGGCCGAAGTTTGGAATGACCTCGAAGAGAGGTTTTCACAGGGCAATGATTCCAGAATTTACCAAATCCAACAAGAAATTGTTGAACATCAACAGGGACAACAATCTGTCTCGGCTTATTACACCAAGATGAAGGCACTTTGGGGCGAGTTGTCTTCGTACCACAACACTTTATCATGCACGTGTGGAGGATTGAAGAAAGTTGCTGCACGAGAAGAGAAAGAAAGTGTCATGCAGTTCCTTATGGGACTAAATGAGACTTACGCCGCCGTCCGGGGACAAATTTTGATGATGCAACCCCTTCCTGACACACACAAGATCCATGCCTTGATACTCCAGCAAGAACGACAGATTGAAGTAGCTGCACGACGTGATAGTAATACCGGTCATCATGCGATGAAGGTTGCTCAACCCAGCCGTTCACCTGCAGCCCTAGGGAATCTGACTCTGTCACGACCCGATTCGAAAATAAAGAATATTCCTGAACTATGGTGTGAGTCATACCATAGTCATAAGAATAAAATCCTACAACCATGATATGATGAGAAATAGAGCCACAAATACTACAAATTTACTTAACAACACAAAATCAGAGTCGCAGTAGCTCGTAGTTAACTACACACTAAGATCTTTAACAAATGGTTGACTACTTACAAATATTAATTACACAAATCAACAATAAAAGCCTAGTAGCTTGGTTGAAACCCGCTTCCTCAAACTTCGCCTTGAATCCTGCACAATCTATTAGGGTATGAGCATTCTAATGCCAGTAGAGTACCGTCAAACCCCTCAAGGTCAGCTATCACAGTTAATCAAAGTGTCATGCATCAAACAACACAAGATATATAATAATTATGTAATCAGACCAGATAAATAAATTTGCATATGCGGTGATGTCATGAACTCACTCCCTTCTAATCCCACTAATTCATACTTTAGGGCAACAAGCCTGCATGTCCCATACCATGTGTTTTACCACTGTGGCTCTTAATACCCTAAAATATAAACTAGCGCCCATCCGTCCCTTAATCCATTTTTCTTTTGTTTACGAATTTCTCAACTTTTACTTTTCATTAGAGGCCTTGCTCCCATCACCTCAATATATTCAAGCTCTGCTCCTGTCACCTGAATATATTCCACATTTTATTTACTCAAATATATCTAAGGCCTTCTCCCACCCCTTAGATATACCTCAAACAACACACACACCCCAAACACCACTATATTTATGATGCATATGTAATGCAGCACAAACATCATTTATCTCTGCTGAATAATAAAACAGATAATATTTTAGATTTAATCACATGAATAATAATATTCAACCAATGTCAAATTATATCCACATAGAAACATCAATAATAATATTCATATAACATCAAATTATATTCACCGAGCAACGCAACAATAATATGCATATTTATAGTACTATATATAAGCACTAAGATTAAAAGTGATATAGCCCAATCATCGGGAAATCAGGAAACCCTACCTCAAGTCCAACTAGTTTAACCTCGTGCGGTTTTGTCCTCGAAAGTACGCAGAGTAGAACACCTAGTTAAGATAATTTACTTATTAAAATTCACTGGAAATAAGGAAACAAATTTGAGTGTCCTACTAACGCATGTAGACCTAAAACCCCATAATACACTTGACAAGTTGTTTGACCCGATTGTTACTCCCTTAACCTCACATCCAAGCAAGCATAGAACCAAGCGTCAAGGAAAAACTAATATATTCCCCTCCTATAATAGTTCTACTCTTTGTGATGTTTAAAATCAGGTGGCTCGGCTCTAAACTCATAAAGAAAATTTAAAACATCAATTTAAAACTAAAATTTCAGTTTTGCTAAACATTTGGGTTGGAAC